ACAAGTTGGTTGCTGCGGCAGACGAGCTTTGGGAGTTCCTTGTGCAAGTGGTGGCTGCCCCATCCCTGGAACAGCTGGCAGCTCTCCATGCACGACTGCATACCTTGCTCTGCGACCTTCGGAGCTGTTCCGGTGCCCTACCTCGCATCCGCCAGGGATTGTTGGTTGCCATCCATGCGGCGCTCGGCAGTCTGCTCGACCCGTTCAGTTACGCGCCTGGCACACTTCAGGAATGGTTGCACCCATCCCTTGTGGTGGAGCAGGGCCTGGTCAGGCAGGGATATCTGGCGACCGAGATGGCCTCCAATGCACATGCCCAAATTCTGTGCAGGATGCCTTGTCCGTTCCCGTTGGCCACAGCACCTCAGCCCAGCTCTTGAGCGATGGAGTCTCTGTGGACATCGACCCTGCTAGTCGCGATCTTGGGGGCTACGTTTGTTCGTATCTCCCATGGATCGCGGCTAGCCTTTTCCTCGGGCGTTGTCTGATTCTGTACATAGCTCTGTGTAGAGTTGTAGCGGTTTCAGGGCGGTTCTTTGCGACATATGGCCCCCGCCTTTCTTGGCGACGATCGTGGCAGCTCGGCTGCGTTCTTTCAGCAACCGCTTGGTGGGTTGCTGCTGCAATCGGACCGCCTGTCTCCATGATGCTGTGTGCCATACTCAGTGAGCTCTTGGCTGGCCTTCCTGGACTTGCCTTGGACTTTGGCTCTGCCCTACGTTCTGCCAGTCAGCACTGTATTCGATTCCTCCCTGTCGTGGGTTCTGGACCCGGCTGCGTGTGGGGCCGTGGTTGGACCTGGCCCCGCAGCCACTGGCAATCGGATTGCGATGACGAGCAGACATGGCCTTGGTTCCTCTCTGTCTGGCACTTTCCTTTCGCTGCGTGTGGATGTGTTATGCCGGCTGGGGCCCGATCTGCCGGCCGCAGGGTGCACGGAGTGCGTTACTGTGCGAAAGTGAGACCACGGAGGCCCCGTGGCCCTAACTTTCGCTCCTGCTCTACCTCTCGGTCGCCGACGGAGCTACTCTCCGACTGGGAGCTGCTGTCCTTTCCTCTTACCTTGTGCAGCCCCCCGAAGCCGTGCAGCTGCATGCGCACGGTTTCCATGAAGGCCTCCCTGTTCTCAGCACAGGTCCCGTTCTTCCCACTCCCAGTGCTGATGAGATGTGTGACGTCTATCCTGTCGGCCGTACTGGTAACTTGCTGTTACCACGTACAGACCGTAGCCGCAGGCATCTCGCTGTGTTCGTGGGGACACCTCCTGGCGCGCCCGTCCTCGACCCATGTCCCATTCCCTTTCTGGTTGATGAATGGCTGCATGGGCCACTACTTCATGCTAGGTTAGCCGCTGCTCTAGGCTTCCATGCTGGGGTCTTCTCTGTGTCTGGGGTCCGCGGAGTTCTTCCTGGGTTGCCGAGTGAACAGCTTCTCCTCACACCAGTGGCTTGTTCATGGCGGCAGGTGTGGCTGCCCGTCGATTTGCGACAGCTTGGTGGCCGAGTGTGTATGATACAATGTCCACGTGACTCCACATGCAGAGCAATCGCCCAACTCGCCCTTGCTGCTCAAACCTTGACGGCTGAGGTTGACCTTCTTCTTGCTCGATGCACGTGGGGCTGGCTGACCCTTGCCTCCCAGCCCCTCTTCTTGCAAGATGTTGACACTCTGCAGTTTCAGATCGGTCCGGCTGTCGAGGCGTTACAAGGTCCAGTCGGATCTTCCCTTGATCCGCCCCTATCTCTCTTTTCTGCGATGCAGGTGAGCCTTCCCACTGCTCCGGCCGCTTACGACGCCTTTCCGGGTCACTCGCATAACCAGGCTGTTCTTATCACACCCAACGGGTTAGTATACGTTGAAGCCCCGGTTTTTGCTGATGCCGCGACCTTCCGACGCATCGTGTCTACGAGGGCCTCCCCTGCTGCTACTGGGGGCGTGTTGCGTATCTGGCATCCACTTCCCTCGCTCCCTCTTGTCCAATTTCTTGAGGTTCATTGTACTGAGGAGGAAGTACCGTGCATTTTGGATTTCCGTCCTGTGGGCTGGAGACTGACTACTGTCTGCATCTCGCCCCCTGTCACTGCGCTCGCAGCGGTCACAGCAGCTTCGCGTCGAGATCGCAACAGTCTTCCCCATGAATGGGTCGATCAGTGTGCCAGGGGTGGCTTCGGTCTTCTTCACAGGGAATTTTCTGTGCTTCCGGACCAGGTTATTTCAGGGAGCTTTCCGTTGGTGATCATGTTCTTTCCGCATGTTTTTCGCCAGGACTCCTCGTCTTCCTCGGAGGACCAGGTCGGAGGGTGGGACACTCCGGGTACATCAGATACCATTTCCGCCTTACAGCACACCCTGTTGCCCTCACCCGCCAGAGCTTCTGCGTCCGCCAGCATGCCTGCCTGCACCGGCGTTACACCCTCTGATTTCCTTAATTCTTCGTTCCCTAGTGCTGCTGAGCAAACTGAGGAGCCTGTCTCGGACGCGTCCGGTGCTGTCCACCTGTTGCGAAGGCCCTGGGTAGTTTTTATTGTCTTGGGGATCTTAGGTCGGCATGCTGGAGGGCAACCTGGACTTGGCACGTGGAGTGTTGCTAGCTTACTGCTGTACATTTCGCCTGTTACAGCGGTTCAAATCCACAGCGGACCTGCCTCGCCACGCGATGCTGTTATTTCCGCTGCCAGAGCTCCGGATCGCCAGATTGCTGCTCCTGCGGGAGCCCACTCCCATCTGCAGTCCAAGTGGCTTCTGACTGGTGACTTTGGCGATGGTCCTCTCTGGTTATCCCTGCCGTCACCAGACTCGGTCTTCCTTATAACCTGCCGCCTTTGGCTGCCAGGCTCCGTTGTGCGCTTTGAGTTCTCAAGCACCGATCGGGCCCGTGATGTGTCTGCGGAGCTGTACCGCCAAGCCATTCGACTTGGACGATCTCAGATTGTTGCGGCGTCGGTCGGGCCTACGCTTGAAGTTGTTCACCTTGTGTCCCTGCCCTCGCATCCGGGTGCACTTACTGTCCTTTTTGATTTAGGCAGGGAGATTGTTTGCAGCGAGCTTCCGTTCGACTATAGTCCGAGCCAGGTTATGACTGCCGCACAGGAAGCAGCCTCAACCAGTGACATCCAAATCTTGAAAGGGCCGGCGCACAGACTTCGTCACGGTGATGTCATTCGGGTGATTGTTAACTCCGAGCAACGTACGCTTGATGTCTCGGCGTTCACTCTACCACCTCATGTCGCCTCCGCCTCTCGGTGGCTCCAGGAGTCGAGGGTTGTGTCATTTCTTCATTCCGTTGAAGGGGTGATCTCTTTTGAGGTTCCGCGGTCGTGCGCCCTTGACATCACTGTGCTGAGCACCCTCCTGCAGAGTGTCATCCCTGGCCGTCATGTCTTTGTTGAGATCCCTGGGGCTGATGCCCTCCCACATGCAGCGTTTGGTGTTGCTCGTCCGGGGCAAGACTGTGTTACCTATCGCCTGACTGATGCCTCTGACCCTTCCGCAGCCGGCCTTCTTTTAGCCTTTGCGGGAGTTTTCGAGTCCTTCTCTGCCTTTCTCGACAGCCTTCTTTACAGCAATCGCCCGGCAGCTGTCTTGCTACGTCGGTTGCAGCCTTTTGGCCTGTCGGTGCTGTCCTGGGAATGCACCGTTATCCCCGGCCGGGGTGATTGTCATTATTGGCATGTCCATGTTCAGGCTGACCTCGCCAGGGCTCGGGAATATCTCCTGCATTTGCATTGGGAGCCTAGGATTGTTCGTAGTCCCCCGCCCCTGCCGTCCCCTAGGGTTCGGGTTTCTCATAGTGTTGGGGTTCAGACCAACGCTCCCTTTATTTCCGCTAGCACACCTGCTGCGGTACTTCAGGCACCCCCGACCCTATGTGGCGCGGGGGTTACACCAGACTCTGCATCCGAGCTTGTCGATCTCTGGTGTGATGCAGGGCACGTAAAGTGTCTAGTTGCCTGCGTGCCTGGATTCACCGTCTGGGCCCTTCGCGAAGGGGGCCGCCTTGTTGGCATGTGCACACCTGCTCCTACATGGGAGGCCGTGGCCCAAGCGCTTTCTCTCTCCCTCTGGGAGCTGCCCCAGACATTCTTGTCTGATAGTACTCAGATCTGGCCGTTTCCCGGGACCTCGCCAGTGTCGTTGGGCGGTGTGTTAGTGTAGGCTATGACTCGCCTGAGGGGATTTCGCAGTTAGCGCATAATTGCCAATCACCAGCTCCGAGCCCACCACCAGCTCCACCGACTCTTGTGTCCCTTGCACTTGGCTTGACTTGTCCTGGGCGCAGCTTGCTCTTGTGCGTGCTGGGTCTCTTGGCGCTCCCGGTTGATTCGGTGCAGCTGCCTCTCGAGCCAGCCACACTGGTACCTCGGCGCTCTGCTGACAACATTTTGCATACCCGTCGTGACTTCACGCGGCCCTGCACCATGTCATGGACGCACGAGCTTGGGCGACAAACGCATGGTTTTGCAGTAGCGGCGCCCCAATTAGGTGCCTACGTTGAGCGCACTTCACCACAGTATGAAATCCAGTTGCATCTGTGGTTGCCCGGGCAAGGCCCGATCCATCTGCGTGTTCATGCGCGTCACCTCGACCTGCATCTTAGCGCATATCTTGGAGCCTTTTTGCCTGACTGTGAATATGGGCTTCATGTTGCCTTTGACTCGAATCCGCAGGTATTGGACATTTTGGTTACCCCGCCATCTCCACCAATTTGGTGGATCCTCAGGGATTCCATTGGGTGTGAGTTGCTCCGGCCCGTGGTCCAGCACTTTACCTCTCACTGCTCTTTCTTCTTTTGTGCCATTGAGCCTGATGGAGTTGTGCACAGTGTCGAACCATCGGCTGAGGTGCGTCATATGTCACCGAGCCCCCAAGGAGCTAGGGCACTCATTGGCCGTGCTCTCCCAGGGTTGGTTGGCCGACTTGTTGACGGCGTCCTTCATGTTGTAGCGGCGAGAGCTTGCTCCCCTGCTATTTTCGGTGGCCTGACCCTGATCCTACTTGGGGGACAGTCAGCTGCTATGCATCCGCCTTATAGCGCCGCTTTGGCTACAGTTGATGAAGTTCCCCCGCCGGCCCCTACTACCATGCGGATCTGGACACTCAATGTCCCTGTGCCTGTCGACCTGCCTTGGCGGCCACAGGGCTACCCAACACGCTGGCTTCGTGAATTGATGTGCCGTTTACACCACATTGACGACCCCGGTGAGTTCCGGTCTACTCTCTCCTCACCCGGCGGGACTGTGCAGCACGTTCTCTTCGTGCCGATTGTGCCCACCACACATCCTACTGCTAGATTCTGGCTGCTGCACTGGGGAGATGCGGCTGTGGTTACTTTTGGGCATACCCCTTTCCATTGGGATGTTGTCTCCGCTCATATCCGGGCCCTGTTCCCAGGGGGACCTTTGCCAGACCGTTGCCCAGCTCTTTCCTTTGCAGGCCAGTTTTATCCGCCTGGAGCTCCCTTGCCTGACTTCCCGTCTGGAGCTGTCATTCAGATCATCATCGGCGCCCTAGCACGAATACCGGGAGATGATGATCCCTGGAACCCTGACCCGCTAGTCGTTGATAGCCCCTTCTTCCGACATGTCCCCAGTCGTGGCCCTGCACTGGAACCGGCCATCCGGCTTGATGGGAGTGGCAATCAACTTGCTGCTGGTGCCTTGCAAACTCCCCTGGTTGATCAAGGTGTTCAGACTGATCTCTCAGGTAACGGTACTGGTCTCGACCACGCTACTGTTTCACGGGTTCATTTGCTGTCCCGTGAACTCTCTTTCCATACGTCACGACTCTGGGCTGGGCTTGCCGAGCCTGACGCTGAGCCCGTTGGAGACTCACCCTCCGTTCTGAGGCTTTCCTCCCAGAGCGCTTGCGCTGCCGCCTCGGCCCCGAACGTCGATCTGCTTGATATCGGAGGTACTTCTGGCAGCCACAAGCTGGCTCTTCCGTCCTCTGTTAGTTGGGTCTTAGTCGGGGCACTTCTTGGTTTTAGGGGGGTTGCGTCCGGGAGCTTTCTTGCTCTTGCAACTGTCAGTGATGGCTCCATTATCTTCCCCCCGCCGGATTGTTCGGACGAGGAGCAGTCTGATGAAGAAGGTCCCCCTCCTGTCCAAGCTGAGAACATGTCTGTCGCTTCTGGTGCACCAGTCCCTTTCACCATTCCAGCTGGACCTCCTCCACCGGAGCCGGTGAATGCCCCCTTTCAACCTCGTTTGCGTTATCTTCGTGCGGCCCGCCCTCTTGAGGATTATGCTCTCGGACTTTGGCCCTCCACTCTCGATCGGGAGCCGGCTGCCGATGAGGACGTTGTTCGACGGGTCCAAGCCGATTTGCTTGGACTCCAACGCGGCCTACGCACATTTGCCGCTGCCATCCCACTGGGCACGCCCTTTTGTATCCACAACCCCTTCACTGCCCGCCAGCAATGTGACATTGTGGAATACTCCGCTGGGCCTGAGCTTAATCCCTTTGTCCTGTTTCAAGGACATGCACGCAGCCGTGGTTGGGCCGGGATGGTCTTGCTCATGCCGCAGCCCGATGCCACAGCTGTGCACCTAATTGGCTGCCCCCAGGCGCCGGGCAATGTCGCGGTGGGTGTCGTCATTGACGGACGCCTCCTTCCATGCTGCCTTCCTGCGTGTGTCGCCTGTGCGGCGCTCCAGGCGCTTCATCTTGACGGCCAGGAATATGATCTCCGACCTCCGGATGTTCACGAAGAAACCGCTGTTGTCCAATTTCGCAACGGTGATTGTCTGGCGGCGGGGCGCCGCCCATCCCGCCAGCTACCCTCCCATCAGGATGTGCAAGCTGCCACCGCAGAAACCTTGGGGGGTGGCACCGATGATGCAGCAACGGTCCCCGGATCAACTTCTGCTGCATTCAGAGCCGCAGGTTTGTGGGTTTGGCTTGTTGTCACATCCGCCAGGTCGCATGGTGTGGCGCCTGCCATGCTCGCTCTCTGTCTCTGGCGCGCCGAGGTTCTAGGTATGCATAGGCCAGGTGGCTTCCCTTGGGGTATTGATCCGGTTAACCGGCGGTTCTCTGGCATTACGAGTGAGGACCCGGTTGAAGTTGTCCTGCACAGCCCCTTTTTAGGGGTTTTTCCACCCTTTACAGCCTCCCAGGACACCTGCCACACTCAGGCCTGGGCCCAGTTTCGCACTGCTGATCCGGGTTGGGCGGCAGACTACTTTCCGGTCTGGCCAGGGCCTGCATTCAATGAACTTTCCGTCGTCCCCGTCGGACATGATCCTGCCCTTGTCACCATTATGCTTGTCTGGGGAGGTCACCATCGGGCCACACTCACGCCTCGAACTATGACGGTTGCGTGGCTGACTTCCTTTGTTGCCCGCCATATCAACAGTGAAGTTGGCGGGCTCTCACTTCCCCACGGTTTGGCGGTTTGCGAATATTTTGATATCCCACCAGCCGCTTTTCGGTTTCGCAACGGGGACGTCGTTTATATCCATGATCCCCCAGCTGACCCTGATGAGCCGTTAGAGTTTGTGGAGCCTTGGCACCTCCAAGACGGACTCGCGGCACACCACGCTCCATGGGCTGTGGGGTTCCAGCTTATGTTTCCGATTTCGGTTCACTTGCTCCGTCCTGAGAAACCGCCACTGCTCACGAGCATTCCGGCTGGCGAATCTTGGTGTCCTGAGGCATTTTCATTTTCGGGGGACTTTAGACACCAATTTCCGGGCTTTTGGACGCCGGTCCAGTGGACGAGTGCTCGTGCCCTGCAGCTTATGGCGGTTAACGAGGTTGCCGCTAAGGTTAATGTTGTAGCGGCTACTCCTGAAGGGCGGTTGTGCAGATCGGTCGATCGTGTTGTGTCTCGTGACAGCCTCGCTGCTCAGCTGAGGTTCTGCCCTGCGACGGTTCAGGTTGGCGGGGTCCCGTCATATGCCATGGAGCAAGCTTGCGAACTCCGCAACGGGGATGTGATTTTCGGAGAATTCGCTCGCGGTGCCTGTGCGACTGCCTCCTGTCGCCTAGGTTGGTGGTTGGGAACTGCATTTGCTTTCTCACAGCTGCCCATGGCACGCCAGTTCTTGCTTGTCCTTGCTGTTGGCCTCATGCATGGTGGCCAGTCTTCGAGCCTCGGGGCCGGTGCTCTGTTTTTCTTGCCGTCAGCGGCGGCCATGATTCAACGGGCACCTGCAGCCCCCTTGGCAACCCCGGCTATCCCTGCTGCCACTGTTAACCGAGTCACCCTCACTTTGGCCAATCCCTTTGCGCCCTGGCAACGCGTTGAAGTTGACCCCAGTAATGCCTTTGAGGATGTCATCGCGGATGCACATCACACCCTGACGTCGTGGCATCGGGGGTTTGCTGAATCCGGGTTGGTGTCCGATGGTTCGCATGTTCTGGTCCCGAGACCAGGAGGGAGGCTCGCATGCATACTGGTTTCGGGTCTAGGGCAGCTTATTTGTGTTGTCGTGCCCTCCTTTCTCACCCCCCGCGATTTAACCCATGCCTTGCAGCTTCGCTTTGGCCGCCGGGTAAGTGCACACCTCTCGCCCGGACTGGCAGCGTCAACCCGGGACACCAGACCCGTGCTCGCTTTGCGCTCAGGTGACTTGATAGCAGTCTGGCTTTTCCAGTCGGACCCTTCAGCGGGGCCACGCGAGACGCCCGTCTTCTTGACCTGGGGAGCTGCACATGCCGCCTCAGCATGGCATTCTGACTTTATTGTCGCTCACGCCTCCTGTGTGCTGCTGTGGTCACCCAGCCGACCCACTCGGGTCGCTCTCCTCCGACACCAAGCGCGGTGGAATGCTGCAGAGGCCACCGTTTGCCAACACGAGGAGGCCTTGGGAGTCCACCGTTGGGCGCCCTGCCACGGACACCTAGGGACGCCACCCTGGCTTGTTGAGCAAGCCACTGCTTTTGGGCGTGTGAATATCATTCAGTCTCGTGGCTCCACCAGGTGTGTCGAGATTGACAGAGGCGCTGCACATGACCTTTACATTCAAGGGTTTTCCCTCCGCCCCGCCTCCAGTCAGGCTACTGAGGAAGCCAGTGTACGCGACGGCGATTGGTGGGTTCATTCCCTTGCAGCTGGATTGTTTGGTCGTCGGCTACCTGCGCTGGCCAGACTTCTGCTCCTTGTGTATGGTTTCAGTGGGCCAGCCTGGGCTGTGTCCTCCGGCTCCTCGGGCCGATGTTCCAGTGTTGACTCTTCAGAAGCTCGCACCATTCGCACCAGGATGCCGCCTCGGCGGAGTCGCTCCCGTGATCGGGACAGCTCTCACCGCCATTTTCCTGCGCGAGTCGATTTCAGCAGTGGTGAACCTTATGTCCTGCAGGCGGGGTGGCAGCCTGATTGTACTGACGGTCAGCTTTGTTTTGCCCGCTGCTTTCCAGGTCCAAGGCCCCTTACTACCCGAGTCCTCTGTCCCTTAAGGGGTTGGAGTGAATTTCATTTTGCTCGGTTGGAAGGACCATGGTCCCTGTTTGAAGCTGTTGGGTCCCGACACTGTGGTGCCTGGGCAACCCGCTTCTTCCCTGTCCGTGCGGCGTTTCCGTTCGCCCAAGTTACGCTTGCCCCGGTTGCTCCTTTCGGGATGGCAAGTGTAGTCTTCCACACCCTTAGTGGCACAGCCGTTGCCTTAGCGTCGGTTGATGCGTCGCTCGAGGACATTCAGCGGCTGGCCGCCCGCCTCATTCCCAGCACACGGTTTTGGGTTGTCATTCCGCCTCCTTCCATCCGCGCCGCTCACATGTACACGCACATCCGCCTTCGCAACGGCGATGCGTTTGGCTTTCTGCCTGACTCTACTCAACCCGGTTCTACACGGTTCCCTGCTCTGCACTACCCATCCCTTGATAGGGCGCGGCAGGTTGCCAGCTGGTCGTTGTCTTTCAGGTTCGACACAGGCGGCCCCGTCACCCTGTGGACAACCTCCAGCCGTTTTGGCCAGCTGGTGTATGTACGCGACAATGCGTATTGGGATCCTCTAGGCCCCACATTTCGAAGCTTAGGTGGAGAGACCCTAACGGGCTCCTGGGTACCAGTCCTTACGGGTGACCTGTCGGACCTGCATCTAATGTCCCGCACCTCAATTTCTGAAGCGCATGTGCTCTTTCTCCTGCCGCCAGAGCAGACACCGGTGGGGGTCTTCCTAGCGGGCTGCAACACCCATCGCATCCCTTTGGGATGGCAACTGTTACCTGCCATTCGTTATGTGCGTGCTGGTAGCACGTTGCGGGACGGGGACGTCTTGGTTATTGCCCGAATGCTGATCTTGTTTGGGACCCCTTCAGCACACAGCCTCCCAGTCTAGATGATGCTCAGCCGCAGCGTGCCCAGCACACCTGGCATCAACCTCTGACCTCTGCCTCGCCTGGCTCCACGGTTCTGCTTGGCGTTCTCGCGGTTTCGGTTGGTCGCGCTCCCTGGTGGTTAGGGCTAGCCCTCGGGGTTGTGCTGGGGTCTAGCATGGTGCCTTCTTACGAGCTCCCCGATCCGCCCATCCGAGTTGGGCTGTACCCATGGCGCGCACGTCCAGGTGAAGGCGACCTTCTCGATCTTTCGGCCCGACCTGAATTGGATATTGTTTTGCTTAGTCCTTTCACAGGGCCTCGGGAGGCAGGTCGTCTGTATACCTCCGCTGCCGTTACTGAGCTTAACACATTGATGCAGGCCTGTGAGCCGGCCTGGGGTGCCGACGTTGTGCCCGTATGGCCGACAGCCGCCCTTCCAGCCTTGTTGGTCGTGCCGCGTCCCCCTGATCCCAGCCTCGTGTGCCTGGCGGTGTCCTCTTTGGATCGGCATTTCTCTGTCTTGATCCCCTGCTCCTCCACTCTGTCATGGTTGGGGGAGGCTCTCCGTTTTCTTCAGCCATTACAGGCGCTCTCCCTGCGGGCGCCTAGTTCCTTGGCCGCGTCGACGCCTCCTGACGGCGTTATCAGATGGCGTTCGGGTGATCTTGTTGTCGCCCTGCCTCCGGCAGCCTTCGAGCCTACTTACCAGCCCCCGTGCTTCCACACTGATGCGCAGGTTCGGCATTGTGCTGTCTGGGCAGTCGATTTTTGGGTCTCTGTCCGGACAAATTTTATACTTTGGCGCCCCGGGGTCCGTGCAATCCGGGGACATGCACCCGAAGGGGCCCAGTGGCGGGCCCTCGACTTTACGTTTGCTGGGGAATTCTGTCAACACTATCCTGGGCGCTGGGTGCCGGTACCATGGATTGCCCAAGACCATGCCCATTTAGTTGTGGTGTCCGAGGACCCGACATACGTCAATGTTGTCATTGAAGCTGACGGTAAGTGCTGGTGTGCCCCAGTAACTGCAGCGACGGACGCCTGGCAGTTATGGAATGATGTGCCCTCCATCTCCACTCAGCCACGAGTCCTGGGTCTTTCACACCAGGAACTGCGCCAAGGCACTGTCCTTCGCAATGGCGACGTTGTGTCAGAAGCTCCCCAGGGCGCCCTGCCTTCAGGTGGCGTTCAGACTCTCCTCGCTTTCTTTCTCTCTGTCCGCTTTCTACCAACTTTCCCGAGCTCCTTGGTTCTGATTGCTGGCTTGTTTTTCGGCTGGCATAATGAGGCCGCCGGTGCACGTCACCTTACCCTCGCGGTTGGCCTCGCTGCCACCGGGCAGGGTCATGTTGGGGCAGTTAGGATGTCTGACACACCCTATTCTGCTGGGGAATGTCACCGCCTCTGGGAGCCCTCCGGCTCTGTGTCAGGGCCGTTCTTTGGTCCCGTTGATCGTCCGCCTGAGGAGTTGCGTCATGCCGCTGTTGCGTGGTCTGATTTTACTCAAGTCCGGCCACCTCAAGATCCTCGCATAGTGGATTGGGTGCCCGTCCCTTCGGATCCTCTCTTCGTTGTTGTCCTGCTCCAGTGCCCGCCTGCGACTCGAGCCGCCATCTTGCCAGCCACGTGTCACGCTGCAGACCTTACTCGAGCTTGTCGACGGTCGGTCCCTGATTTAGCTTGTGTCTTGGCCTCGCCGGAAATCTGGTGTGGCACTGCCACTTCCTATACCCCAACTCTTTTCCTTCGGTCTGGGGACGTGCTGACCCTGGCATGTGCCGGCTGGGCTCCACGCTTGCGCTCTCCCAGCGGCCGCTATTGGGATACCTTCTATCAGGCCCGTAAATTTGCCTTTTGGGGTAGCCCCTTTCAGATCCGCCTGCCGGGCCTCTTGTTTGCGTGGTCGGCCGGTGATCCTGTTCCCTTGACGGTTCACACCGTTCAAAATGAAGTGTGGGACCCGGAACACTGCACATTCCGACCCTCTTTGGCCCGGTACAGTGTTGCCCGTTGGATCCCGGCTGCCCGTTGTGATCTGCTTGGCCTCCACCTTGTCCCGGAGAGCCTTAACCCGCACCGTGCACATGTTCTGCCCACGCAACCACCTCTTCGGTTGCTGGAGGTCTCCCGTTACAGCACACAAGGTCTGATTAGGGATGGCGATAGCGGCTCTTTTGGTAGCAGAGCTCCCTCCCCGCGTCTTCTGTTGTGCCTTGCTGGCCTTCTGCTGACGCGGAATGCCTTGTCGCTCTGGGCCAGTGGCGGGGCTCTCCTTCTTGCAGGGGCATCCTTTGGGGCCTTCCCCTTCAGTGACACCCTTGTCTTACCGGGTGTTGCTCATGGTGCGATGTCGTGGCCCGCTCTGCTCTTTGACATCTATGGGCGAGCTTGGGGGGCCCCTTCCGAAGCCCCTCGTGTAGCGGATGATCTCAATGAGGCGGGTCATCATTATGCCGGCCTGGCCGCTCATTACTTGGCTAGGCACTTGCTGGTGAGCATGCCTCCCACGCTCCCTCCCTGTTATCACTCGGGCTGGCTCCGTTTTTCGGTTTGGCCCGGCGGAGTGCCTGATGAGCTGTTTATCGCCACTGACGGCAGCGGCTTGCAAGCGGGAGGGTGGGCCTTCGCGGTGTGGGCCCTCTGGAAAAAGACATGGTTTCGTGTGGGGTGGGACGCTGGTAGCCTGCCTGCTACCCCATGGCTCCCTACTCCCACTGCCACTGCCACGGACCTCCGGTCGTACCTGGGAGAGCTTAGCGCCCTTGTTTCTGCTGCGGCCTGGTTCACTGCCTGGTGGGATCACTTGAAGCTACACACTGGCCATGCGCCTGCTCGGGTTACGATTGCTGTCGATAACAGTGCGGCGTTACAGGTTGCCGGGGGATTTGCTTCAGCTACTCTGCCGCACGCCCGTGTTTGTCGTTCACTCTGGCAGGCAATCCAATCTCGTTGCACCACCCATTTCCGTCATGTGCCCGGACATGCCGGTGCCCTGGTTAATGAGATTGTCGATGCCCTTGCCGGTTATGGTGCGATTCATCCTTGGTATGCTTCCCCTGGGTGGTGCCGGCTGCCTGGGACGTTCGGGACCACCCTTGCTCAATGCGCACCGTTTCTCTGGCTACTTCCGTCCGCGCAGCTGGGCCCTGCTGGCCTCTTTTGGGAATCCCCGGCGTGGGGGGCACCCAGGGACGCATCTGAAGCAAGCAGCCCTCCTGCTATGCCTGAATCTCAGGCGAAGTCTGATTTGGCGAAGCCAACTCACGTTTGTGTTAGGCTTGTGCAAGCCAACATTCAGACTATTAAGGACGTCGCTGAATCCTTCTTTAACCGGGAGGGTCACGGGCAGCGTCGCATCTACATTGCTCAACAGCTCCAATCCCTAGATGTACACGTTGCCTTCTTACAGGAGTGCCGTAGCCGGCCAGGACGCTGGTCCTCACATGGTTTCCTCAGCTTCCACTCCGGCGCAGAAAAGGGTATGTTCGGCGTTGAGATCTGGGTTAGACCTGATGTTGTGTCACCCAAGCTCGATCTCGATGACTTTCGCATCCGGTTTGCCAGCCCGCGGCTGCTGTTAGTACAATGCCAACGTTCGGACTTTCCGGTGACCTTGGTCGCGGCTCATGCACCGCACGCTGAACGCCCGGAACATGAAATTCGGCGCTTCTGGCAAGACCTGCGGGTCCAGCTTCTGCCAGCATGTAATCGGGGAGTCGTCCTGGCAGGCATCGATGCAAATGCTGATTTTGTGGGACGTGATGAAGAAGAGGTTCTGGTCGGTGACTTACTGTCCCTCCGACCGGCTCGCTTGGCCGATGACTTGCTTCTTGCCTGCCTGCATGACACCTCTCTTGCTGCCCCTGGTACTTGGGCTGAAACCCATTCCGGCCCTTCATGGACCTGGCAGCATACCGGCGGTAAGGTCCAACGGCTTGACCACCTGCTTGTCACTGGTGGTGTCGTTGTTCGTGGCCATCGCCAGTTCCCTGAACTTGACATCCTGAACGGGGAGGCGCGAGATCACATGCCCATTACGGCATGTGTCGAGATATGGGGGAAGACCGGACGCCGTGTTCATCAAAGGTGTCCCTACCCACCCACGTGCGGCGACCTTGTCTCGCAGCATGTTTGGGACACACTTGCCCGCTCCGGTCCAGGATCTGGCTCCACTAAAGTCCGTCAGTTATGCACTGCGCACGCTGCAGCTGTCCGACTGCTACCGGCGAGACCTCCGTTGTGCCGGCGCCAACCCTACCTCTCAGATACGGCTGCCGGTCTCCTTGACACCCTTCGTGATGCCAGAGCTGAGTTACGTCGTCTCGCTTCTCTTCAGCGACAGCAGCTCTGTGCACTTGCCTTCCATGCTTGGCACGGTCGGCCACCACCAGCTCCTGCCCGGCGCTGGGAACGCCACCAGGTGCAGATGCTCGTGGCCCACTTTGCGCATGTCTGCTTCAAACTGCGAGCTCAGGCTCATGCCCAGGCCCGGATTGACAAACAGGCCTATTTTGAATCCCTGCTAGTCGGAGCTATCGATCACTGGCATGCCACGGGTCGCCCTCTTGAGGCTGTCTCCAAGCTTTCATGGGCGTCCAAAGGAGCTAAGCAGAAGCGCGATGTGCGGGCCGCCAGTGGCTTCAATATCGATGCTGAACTGCAGTTACAGTTCCAACAACAAGAAGGAGGACGCCCCGTGTCGAGCGCGCAACTCAACAGCGCTTTTGCCAAATGGGCTGACACTGCCCGCCCAGTTTGCCTGGCAGCGGTCCCTTCCCTTCTGGACGTTGAACACATGTGCCGTTCCCAGAAGAGAGGCAAGGCCCCTGGGCCGGACCACATCCGTAATGAGGTCTGGAAAGCTTGCCCCGACAAAGCTGGACGATGGTTATGGCCGATTTGGCTTCACCTCGCTTGGGGAGAGGCTGAGCCCCTTCATTTCAAAGCCTCCATTGTTGGAGCCCTTCATAAGAAAGGCCCGGCCCACCTGCCCTCCAATTTCAGATCTATTGCCATGCTT